ATGGGAGAGGGGAGGGGAGGAGGATGGATTGAGGGAGGGAGGGTGATGGGTGGGGTCACTTCTATACTCAGAATACTTTCCTACTATAATGGTGGTATGTAAAGCAAGCTAATCTCTATTACGAAGGTTAAAATACAAAATTACTAAAAAACAACTATAGCTACAACTTATTAGTTGTTAAGAGATAGAAGTTTAAAATTATGTAAATTTTGATATAACTATTATTAAAACTGTGTAGGGGAGTAAAAGTATAAAGTTTTTGTATGTGATTAAAATTATTATCAGTTTAAAATAGTTTGTAAGTATAAAATGCTTTATGTAAGCTTCATAGCAACCACTAAGCAAAAGTCTGTAGACGTTGGACAATACATAAAAAGAAAGGATTTGGTTAGGTGTGGTAATTAACACCTATGATCCTAGAAATTTGGGAGGGTAAGGCAAGAAGATCACTTGAAGTCAGGAGTTCCAAGACCAGCCTAGGCCAGAGCAATATCCTGACTCTACAAAAAATTAGATAAACTACCCAGGTGTTATGACATGCACCTGTAGTCCCACCTACTCAGGAGGCTGAGGCAGAAGGATTGCTTGAGCACAGGTGTTTGAGGTTGCAGTGGGCAATGATGATGTCACTGAGAGTGATGGAGCAAGATTGTCAAAAAAATAAAAATAAAAAATGAAAGAAAGAGAAATAGAAAGTATTTACAGTATACCACTACAGAAAACCATTAAACCACAAAAGATAGCAAGAGATGAAAAATTAAACAAAGGATAAAAAAAAAATGAGAAAACAAATTACAAAATGTCTGCAGAAAGTCCTATCAATAACCTCAAATGTAAATTCATCAAATTCTCCATCAAAAGAGAGTGGCTGAATAGATTTTTAAAAAGAGACTCAACCATCTGCTCTTTCAAGAGATTTGCTTCACCAGTAAGGACACACAGAGACTCAAAGTTAAAGAGATGGGAAAAGATATCCCATCCAAATGGAAGCCAGAAGACAGCATTATTAGATACACTCACATCATATAAAACAGACTTTAGGTCAAAATGGTAAAAAACAAAAAGACAAAGAAGCTTATGTGTAATAATAGAGGGTTCAATTCATGAATAGGGCATAACAATTGCAAATGTACATGCAGCCAACATTGGAGTGTCCAAATACATAATATAGCAACTACTGAATGGTCTAAAGGAGGTGTCCTCAAACTACAGCCCGTGGGCCACATGAGGCCCTCCTAGGACATTTATCTGGCCCACTGGGTGTTTTTGCTGCCTCTGCCTGTCCTGCTTAGCAGACGACTCATCCTAAGGCCTGCAGTTGGGCCCTCCAACAGTCTGAGGAACAGTGAACTGGCTTCTTGTTTAAAAAGTTTGAGGACCCCTGATCTAAAGGGAAAGATAATCTACAATAAAATAATAGTAGGGGACTTTAATATCCCACTCTCAGCAATGAACTGATCATTTAGACAGAAAATAATAAGGCAACACTGCACTTTATTTACATGTAAGACCAAATGGAACTAACAGAAATATACAGAACAGTCCGTCCAACAGTAACAAAGTACACATTCTTCTCAAGAGAACATGGAACATTCTCCAGGATAGATCAATATGTTAGGCCACAGAACAGGTTTAACAAATTCTAGAGGATTAAAATCATATCAAATATGAACTATAAGAGTGTGTATGTGTGTGAGTATGAGAGTGTGTGTGAGAATGAGTGTGAGAGAGAGGATATTGAGAGTGCATGTGACTGTGTGTGGGTGAGTATAAGCACAAGAGTCATGAGTGACAGTGTGTGAGCATGAGTATGAAAGAGTATGAGAGTGTGAGTGTGTATGTGAGTGTGGGTGTGACAGTGTATGTGTGAGAGAGAGAGACAAAGAGAGATATGAGAGAGAGAGCAGTACACAATTGCCCAGGAAAGTGAAGGCTCTGCCATGGGGCAGGCACCCAGAAGGTACCAAAAAGGGATTGTCCCAGCATAGTCTCGGTGCACAGGCCCACAGCTGCGTGTGGGGCTTAGACCAAGTAGGGCCACTCAGAAGGAATGTGAGGTGTCCCCCAAGCTGCTCCCCAGGAAGAGGGTGGCCCTGCAAAGGAAGACTGGGGTCAACAGGAAAGAAGAGAGGACAGCAGGCAGTCTATAGCCAGAAAAATAGGTGTGAATACAAAGAAGGGGTGGGGTTGGGCAAGATCAAGTGAGGGTAAAGGGAAAGGAACAAGGGCCCTCCCAACTCTAGCTCAGCAGTATTTTCAGGTGTGGCCCTCAAGAGTGGAGGCACCAGCTGAGAGTGGGGTAAAGGGTGGAGGGCCACTCTCCCCTCTTTGCCCTCCATTTCTGTACCAGGATCCTCAGTGGAGCTCACTCAACCCCCTCCCCACACACACACACCCCTACACCAACTCATGGGACTGTTCTGTAGACCAGGAACTGTGGCTCTGGAGGTTCCAGGGTCCAGATACCCCATATGGGGTGTGGGAACCCTGTGAGCTCAATGTTCCTAAGGGAGGTGGGAGGCAGGGCTGGGTGGGGCGGGGGGGGGGGCAAGATCTGAATGGCCAGGCCCTATTCAGCTCTGTAGTGTGTCTCATCCTTGGAGACCACATGGGAAGGCTCAGCACAGTACAACACATTCAAAAGCAGGGATCATTTTAAGATCTCTGGTAAATTAAATGACTGCCAGTGGTTGTGGTGGCCTATTCAAAGGAAGTGGCAGGAAAAATGGAGAACTCAGTTTGCTACATGGGCAAGATGGCTCTAAATCAGTGGTTCTCAACCTTCCTAATGCCCGGAACCTTTAATACAGTTCCTACGGTTTGTACCCCCCACAGGTTGAGAACCACTGCTCTAATTCTCATCTCTGGCCAGTGGCTCCATCCATTTCCATGTAGTGAAGAACTAGAAAGTGTGTCAAAGGTGACTGAGCCCCACTTCTGGTGTGAGAAAGTTAAACATGTATTCAAAATGAATTCCAAGGCAACTTGAAATTATAGGAATTCACTACAGGAGGGGATTCATTACAGGAGGGCAATGGGAGATACCGTAAAAAGGGTACAAAGTTTTCAGTTAGACTGCAAGAAGTTTTTAAGTTCTATTGCACAACATAGTGACTAGAGTAAAAAATAATGTATGGCATATTTCAAAATTGGGAAGAGTAAATTTCAAATCTCAACACTAAAAATGTTAAGTGAAGTGATGGCTATGTCAATTAGCTTGATTTAATCATTTCACATTGTACATGTATATCAAAACATCACATTGTGTCCCATAAATATATACAATTAGAATTTATCAATTAAAAATAACATATTAAAAAAATAACATCATGTTGCATGTGGCAACTATATATGTTATAATTTTTTTTTAATTCTGGGTCAAAGCATTTGTAGAACAGAAAGCTATCAGTAAACTTTCCTCCCCAGAGGTTGAACCAATTTATACCCTGCCAGTTACGTAAGAGGTTGATTTTCTGTGAATCTTTGCCAACACTGAGTCATCAAACATATCCATCTTTGCTAACTTGATAGACAAAAGCATAGCATAGTGTAGTTTAACTAGCAATTTTCATAAGTATATACAATCAGCTTTCTAATATTTGAGAGCCATCTGTATGCCCGTTTTTGTGAATGTTTTGTTCACTTCAATTATCCCATTTTTCCACTGGGCATCTCTTCTTTTAATGTATTGATTTTTAGTATTTTCTATATTAGGGCACTTAATGTGAGCTTTTCACTGTGAAATGAGAATGGATATTTTTTGCAGCTATGTTTTCAATTTATTGAATTTTGCTAAGCAGATTTTTAAAATGCAATTGCATGTATTGGTCTTCCAAGGTTTAGTAGTAGAGTTACTAAAGCTGTCTCTACTCTCAGATTTTTAAAATTTTTTTCTATAAGTTCCTCAGGTACTTTATTGGTTTATTTTTTCTAACATTAAAATATTTGATCCATTTAGAGATGTGCCATTTAGAAGTCTGCAGTATGGGTCCAACTACATTTTCTCAATATTATTTATTGAATAATTGATCTTTTAGTGATTTTAAAAAAGCAATCTACCTAAAAGATTTCCAAACTACAAATTAATTATGAATTATAAATTATATAATAAACTCTCTTTTGAGGTTTAAAATGTAGATGGTATCCCTGGCTCATCCCACCCATCTCCCTCCTCCAATGCTTGATAATTATATCAGGTTTTGTTCCTCCATTGGACATTTTGCTACTTAAAATGATTTACTTACTCCACTATGTCTTGTTTCAACAGCTCTAATTAGTATCTAGTGATAATAAGCAAGAAGGGATGGTCCTGAGACTGTCTCCATACTTTGAATTCCTAAGAAAGAAAATGCAGCTTGGTACCCAAACTGAAATTTAATTTAGGAGTCTAAGTTTTCAAGTTTGGTAGCCCCGTATCAGCCAACCTTCAGTCAACCACGGGTAGCCAACTGGTCAGGTGCAAATAAAGAAAACATCTAGCTGCAGTCAATCAAGCTATCCCTGTACTTGATGGTCTGGTCTGTGAACACTCACTGCCTACAGTCGCAGAGCTCCAGCAGAGCTTTCTGAACCTCTGAGTGATGCCTGATTTGCCAGTTGTTCTTTGCTAAAAAAAAAAAAACTATTGAATTTAATTTGTCTAAAGTTTTTTTTTTTTAAACACTAGATACGTCTCTCAGAAATATGAAGATAATAACATATAAAAGTGTACATCTTTTTCTTGTTCCCACTCCATATTATTCACAACAGGGCCCCAACATCATCATCATCAGATATGGAGGCATTGGGCTAAGCGACTCGCACAGCGAGGCAGCGCAGACCGTGAGCTTCGCCCCAGACTCCACGCGCGCGCTCTCCCCTGGCGACCCCACCCACACCCGTGGAGCGCGCTCGGCTGGACCCGCCCAGTCCCGCCCCGCCCACAGAGCTGGCCCAGCTCGGATCTCTTGACCTTGGCAGTGCCGCTGGGGCTGAAGAGGGGGCGGTCCCCGGGGCGGTGTCAGCCGCGCTGCGTGAAAGGAACTGGCGCTTGGCTCTTCCGGAGCCGGGCTCGCTTTGCCTTCTCCAGCGGGAGCTGCAGCCATGGGGACCCTACCGCGCACCGTGGAGCTCTTTTACGACGTGCTGTCACCCTACTCCTGGATGGGCTTTGAGGTGACGCAGGGAGAGCCACCTCGGCGGGGCCTGGAGGGTGAGGGAGAGGAAAGAACGTGATCAGGACGAAAGGACATAGGTCTCCTAAAATTCCTGGCACTACCCGCGGGGTTAGGATAAGCAGAGAGCTTGCCAGGGCTGAAGGTCACTTTGTGCTTTAAAACAGGATAAAGTCGCTGCTCCAAGTCGAGCCCTTATGCCCTAAGACAGTAGTTTCCCGTTGGTTGAGAAGAACAGAGACAACTCCAAAAAATCTAGAAGTCCATGCATGGCACAGCCACCTCTTGGCCGTCTGATGGCTATTGGGGTGGGAAGGGATAGAATGGAAACCATCCACTGGAGCAAAAATCTTGTAATCATGGTGTAGGAGTGGAGAGTTTTGCCATGCAGGGGTGTCCAACCTTTTTTCTTCTCTGCTGCACGTTGGAAAAAGAGTTGTCTTGAGCTACACATTAAAAGTTGACGATAAAAAAATTAATTAAATTTTTTAAAAGTTGATGATATAAAAAAGAAGGTCCATGCGTAATTTTAATGATATCCACCACCACAGATAGGCAAAATAGTCCTCACATAATCTGCCTGCCGCAGGCTGCAAGCTAGCCAACCCTGACGGGCGTCCTCATCTATTGTGCGCTTAAGAACCTCTGGCTAATTGGTTGTCTTGAGACTGCTCCTCCGTTCCCTCAGCTGTTTCACTTTGTCTGTCTTATGCATGGCTCTTGTCTTTCACCTCTGCTTCGGCAGGTCCTGTGCCGGTATCAGAACATCTGGAACATCAACTTGCAGTTGCGGCCCAGCCTCATAGCAGGGATCATGAAAGACAGTGGTAGGAAGAGAGAACCGCTGGCTGCAGGGAGCGGTTCGGGAGGGAGTAGTTTCAGTGGCCGAGGGGAGCTGTCCTCAGCTAGGTTTTTATATTGGCACTGACACCTAGGAAGTTGCCCTCCGCTGAAGACCCAGATAGGGGTCCCTCAAACCCAGGACCCTTAGGTCTTCTCTCACTACCGTGTCCAACCTTCCACTTGCAGGAAACAAGCCACCAGCTCTGCTTCCTCGAAAAGGGCAATACTTGAGAAGAGACGTTATGCTCCTGAGTCAGTATCACCAGGTTCCCCTCCAGTTTCCCAAGGATTTCTTGTCTGTGATTCTTGAAAAAGGTGAAGAGAGTTGGAAGCAGGGAGGGTGTCCGGTGGAGAGGAGAGAAGTCCGAGACTGAAGGGCTAGGAAGGAGGGTTCAGGAGCCTGAGCAAAATGAAGCACTCCTTGGGAAACCTCAGCATCAGGATTGGAAAGCTGAAGGTTACCCAGGCATGAAAGGGAGGAAGAGCAGGCAAATTGTAAATCAATGATGAAAAACAGGAGAGAGGCTGAGGTTGATTGAGCTCTGGGGAGTGTCAGAAACAAGGAAGAGCTGGCCCTCCATCAGGAGTGCCTCTGCCCTACAGGAAGTCTGTCCGCCATGCGGTTCCTCACCGCTGTGAACTTGGAGCACCCAGAGATCCTGGAGAAAGTGTCCCGGGAGCTGTGGATGCGCATCTGGTCACGGGTGAAGGCTTTGGGAATCCTCTGGGAGGACCCCCCACCCTGGGCCACTTCCAGAGCCATCACCCTGCCCTACTCTGTCATTCACAGACATACTACACACCCCTCCCCTCCCAGCCCCCTTCCTGCTGAGTGTTCTGACCTTCCCAGGATGAAGACATCACAGAGCCCCAGAGCATTCTGGCCGTGAGTGTCCTCCCTCCACACTGCTCACTGTGCTCACCAGGAATCTGAGGATAGTTGGGGGCGGGGGGTGAAGAGGGCAGTGATTTTCTTATTGCATGGAAAAGGCCATGGTTATTTGGGGAGAAAAGATGTCTGTGTTGGAGGCAACAAATTACTGACAAATTGGTACCAAGAGGATTCTCAAAGGAATATCTTAGGGTTGAAAGGGAAAGTGGGAAAATACATGGATAGAATTTCTTTCATGAAAGAAATCAGTGGGAAAAAGATGTAACTGTTAGAACCCTCAGATGGAGAGGGGTATTCACAAGTCTCCAAAGACTCCAACACAAACCTGCCAACACATCCAGAGTGGAAAGAAAGCAGGAGATTTTGAACAAAAGCAGGGTACTAACTAATGCCAGACATACAGAAATCTAAGTGAGAACAAATAGAAACACCACAAAACATTGACCAACCAGCCACAGACAAAGGTATAAAAAGTAAGTTTTTCTTCAGGATAAAGTCAGAAAATTCAAAACAAAATTTTCCTTCCAATTTATGAAACAACCACTGAGGCATATTCAACTTTGATATCTAAAATAACAAGTCACACAAAAATTAAGTGTATAAAGAACAGCTAGTGCCTTTATTCCTACAAAGTATATGTTTTTTTACTTAATATTTAACAATCATTTTCCATGTCATTTTTAATTCTTATAAAGTGTAATTCTTTGTTTCCACATAATATTTCCATTCAGTGAACTTATTTTTTGTTTACTTAACCATTTCCCCATTGTTAAACATTTGGTCTATCACACAATTCTCTAAAATAGCAAAGTCAAAGATGATGTCTCATTAGGATGGACTACATGACTTCCGAAGTCCTACTTCAGGTCTAGAAGGTTAAGTTGCAGTGGTTCTTAATCTTGGTTCTATAGTAATATTACCTAGAACACCTCAGCACTAACCTCCCCAGGCCCCCAAAATTCTGATGGCATGCTTGCTCATGAGAACTTGTTAAAGCTCCTCTGGAGATTCAAATGTGCAGCCAAGGTTGCAAACCACAGATCCCAAACTACCACAAAGCACAAACCAAAACCTTTATCCTTTTGTTGAAGCCGGGTAGGTGGCTGTAGTCAGATGCCTTCTTCTCAAGTCCTTAGGAAACTATAAGAATTGGAGCCCAGCCCTTGATTCAAAGAACAAAAGCATGAGATATTCAGGAATTCTGAAAAGTAGGAAGGAAAGAGCCCTGGACTTGTATTCTAGGGACTCAATTGTCTCTACGTAACTCTGAGCAAGTAATATAGCACCTCTAGGCTTCAGGCTCCTCATTTGTAAAATGAAGAAGTCTGGCTAGCTGGTCTCTAGGATGTCCTCTGGTGTTAACTTCTGTGACTATGATTCTGTGCCACCTGCTCTTTTCACCCATCACAAGATTTTGGAGAAAACAAACTATTTCTCTTGGCAAGAACTGATGACTACTTGTGGTTGGGTAAAGCCAACCCCAGGAAATCTTGGGGGCAGAAAATAAAAAGATTAGAGCTTTTTCCTGAAAGCCTCACAATTCACAATGCTGACCCAGTTGTGTTCCCCACCATATCCTTCTAGGCTGCAGAGAAGGCTGGTTTGTCTGCAGAACAAGCCCGAGGACTTCTGGAAAAAATTTCAACACCAAAGGTGAAGAACCAGCTCAAGGAGACCACCGAGGCAGCCTGCAAATACGGGGTAAGCAACCCTTCATGTGTGTTCCCAGACCTTGTCCTGAAGATAGAGACTGAGAATCTCTAGGCATGGATCCCCATGCTGCTGCCCAAAAGCTTCCTCTCCAATATAAGTCTCTCTGGTGCCCTTTGGCAACGCTTATCAGGCATCGTCAAACTACGGCCTGCGGGCCACATCCAGCCGCCTAGGACGTTTATCTGGCCCAATGGGTGTTTTTGCTGGTGCTGGCTGTTCTGCTTAGCAGCTGACTCATCCTGGGGCCCGCAGTCCAGCCCTCCAAAGGTCTGAGGGACAGTGAACTAGCCCCCTATTTAAAAAGTTTGAGGACTCCTGTCTTATCTTCTCCTTTCTTTTCCCTGAGCTCAAGTAATGGGGGGGAAGAGATCTATGGTGATAGAAAATACACTGAGCATCTGAGAATTAGAGAAGGCACCTGGGGCCAAAGGGCCTCTTATCAAATTCCTCTTTGGCTACTTTGTTTCTGTTCCCCTCCCCCCAAACTTGTTGAAATCTTCAACCCCTGACAATCACCTTCCTGCCTGCACTGAAACTGCTTTTCAGGCCTTTGGGCTGCCCATCACCGTGGCCCACGTGGACGGCCAAACCCACATGTTATTTGGTTCTGACCGGATGGAGGTGCTGGCGTACCTTCTGGGTAAGTCAAAGGTGCAATACTGGGCTGCCTTTGACCCAGCCCCACCTCCATTATGTCAACTGACCAGAAGGAAAAGTTTAGAGCAAAAAATATTCTTGACACTTCCAACAACACAGCCTTATGCAAAACAGTGCTGCTCAAGTTTAAATGGGGAAGGGCCACCTTCACCCCCATGGCAAAGAAGGAAATGTCTGTATCTTAAAGCCAGGAGGGATCTTTCTAGAAAATTCCTGGGGCCTGGTGGGACTCACTTCTGCTGCCAACCCTGCAGATAACAGTGAGGAGAGTCTGTGATTTTCTTCCTGCAGGAGAGAAGTGGATGGGCCCTGTGCCTCCAGCCATGAATGCCAGACTTTAAGATGCCCAGAGAAGTATATTGGTATAAAAAGCAGATCATCTATTAAAACCCCACCCTCACCATAGGGCCCTAGGGTTTGGGTTTCTCTACCTGATGGAGGGAGGTATCCTTTGCCTTGCCCCTGCCCCCAGAGATGCTGGGGAGGGGTCCACCATTGGGCCTGCAGCTGCTTGTACTTCTGTGCCTTACACATCTTTCAGAAAGCCTCAAATTCTGTCTCACAAAATAAACTTAATACCATGAGGCAAACGTTTCTGTCTGTGTCTGCTCTGGGGTGGCTGGCATATTCTCATCCTGCCCATTCTAGGGTTTGAGGAAGAGGAGCTGGACCTCCATCAGCCTAGTCACAGAGCTGGCCTTGGATAGCTTGTGTGGAAGAAGTGAGAATAGTTTGCCATTCTCTTACAGAGAAATTCCCTTGGTCTTTCTGTCAAGGACAGAAAACGAAGCCAGATGGACTTTGCAACTAACTACTGTGGCATTTACTGTCTTCTAAAGACTCACAATGACGGAGATAGGGCTGGGACCAGAGGCCCAGTGGGAGTGAACAGAGAGGGGAACCAGAGTGTGACTGAGCCTGTGCCCAGATATTTAAACCAGGCCTAGCAACATAGACCAGCAGAGCCAGGGCAAGGCAGTGCAGGGAGTGTGGCCAGAGTGGCCTTGGGCTGAGGAAGTTGCACACTCTTCAATTGTTCCCTTCCTTAAACCTCAGTGAGGACCCTGAGAAAACCTTGAGGCTTCTCTCCCTAGACTAGGATAACACATTCCCTCCCACATACCTATAGCTTTCCCATGCCTCCAACTGTTTTGTTGTTGTTGTTGTTGTTTTGTTTGTTTTGTTTTTCAGACAGATTCTAACCCTGTGCCCTGGGTAGCATGCCATGGCGTCATAGCTCACAGCAACCTCAAACTTTTGAGCTCAAGCAATCCCCTTGCCTTAGTATCCCAAGTAGCTGGGACTATAGGCACCCACAACAATGCTTGGCTAGTTGTTCTATTTTTAGTAAAGACAGGGTCTCACTTTTTTATTCAGACTGGTCTAGAACTCCTGAGCTTAAATGATCCACCTGCCTTGGCCTAGGATTACAGGCATGCTAGAAGTGCTAGGATTATAGGCATGAGCCACTGAGCCTGGCCCCTTCCAAACTGTTGATCCCAAATCCCTGGTCTTTATCTTTGAGAATACTCTTTATTTGGAAGCTGAAACCACAATTGGACAACTGTTGGAAACTAGGTGAGAGCCTTTGATAGCTCTGAGAAGCTTTCGAAGCAGGTCCCATCTTCCCTTCCATCCCTCCCTCTGGCCTTTTCTCCCATCTCCTTTTTTCCCCTTTCTTTTTTTTTTTTTTTTTTCTGAGACAGAGCCTCAAGCTGTCCCCCTGGGTAGAGTGCCGTGGCATCTCAGCTCACAGCAACCTCCAACTCCTGGGCTCAAGCGAGTCTCCTGCCTCCGCCTCCCAAGTAGCTGGGACCACAGGCACCCGCCACAACGCCCGGCTATTTTTTGGTTGCAGCCGTCATTGTTGTTTGGCGGGTCCGGGCTGGGGATTCGAACACACCACCTTAGGTGTACGTGGCTGGCGCCTTAGCCGGTTGAGCTATAGGCGCCGAGCCCTTTTTTCCCCTTTCATCCCCCGGTTACTTTCTGTCATCCTCCTTTCTCTCCTTTTCCATGACTACAGTATTCTCCAGGATAAAATCATCTTTACTAGGCTTATCTGTGAAGTGATGTCAAAAGTACATCTCCAAATTAAGTACTCCTCTTTTCAAAGGAGCTTCATGACATGTATAACTAATAACAAAATAAAAATATGGAAAGATACCCAATCTAAAAAAAATAAGACCAAATTAAAAAAAATGTAATTTCCTGTAAATCAAAGCTGCCCACAGCATCATGAGTGGAGATTGTTTCTGAATAAAGATGCTCATCTCAGTTCTATTTATTGATATCAACAATTGTGAACAACTTAAACATGTAATAGCAGGAGACTACTTGAATAAATTATGGTACCTTCAGGAGAAAATGTCTCCTACATTGCAATGAAGAGTATAGGATATAATATGGATTGGAGAAAGACATAACTATATAGTATGAGTCCAATAGGTTTTGATGTATAAAAATATAATACACAGACATTAATATAATAATTATGAAATAAAATATGTTAAAATCTTTAGATTTTGTATACTTTAAAAAAAATTTTTTTCAATGATCACATTCTGGTAAACAAAAAATATTTAAGTGGAAAAATTAAAAATATTTTAGATTCACATTGTGGTACAACTGTTCATTCTTCCCATTGTCTTCTAAATGTATTAACTGCTTAACTTAATCCTGAGTCTTCTCTGAGGCTTACAGGTGGGATAATGTTTTATGGTAGATGTCTATTGCCCCACTCGGGCTAGTCTTCCTTTAAAGTCTTTATCATTCTATTTTCCTAATCCAATGGCTAACTTTAATCTTCTCTGGAGGAACTAGACACTTTCTGGACTAATCCTTACACTCATGATCCAGATTATCATTTCTGAACTCCTACCAAATAGAATTTAAAATAAGAAAGAACAGACTTAAAAAAAAAAAACTGTTAATAGAAGAATACTCTTTTTTTCTAATCCAAGGAGGGTTTCATACTTACTCTTAGTGTCTACCTCCATCCACCTCTGATCAACAGTTGTAATGTAATATGAAATTCACAATTATCCCAATACCCACAATTCAGTACTGAACCATTTTCTTGCATTATAATTCAGATTCCAAGCTTTGTGCTGCCAAAACAACCTATATATTTTCTTAGATAAAATATAGTTGTATTTTCTTATATATATATTTTTTCCTTAGACATATGCTGCCAAAACAGCCTATATTTTTTCTTAGATAAAATATATATACATATTTTCTTAGATAAAATATGTATATATATTTTCCTTAGATAAAAGATATAGATATATTTTCTTATATATATTTTATCTGAGAAAATATATAGGAAAATATATATTTTTTCTAATATAAGGAAATATATGTATTTTCTTAGATACATATATATTTTTTCTTAAAGTTTCTAGAAGCAACTTTCTTACAGACCTAAATACAAGTAGTAATTACAAAAGTCATTCATATGATAAAGTCAAACAAAAACAGTGAAAGCTAGGCAACAGGTGAAAAGTGAAGAGTCCTCTCCTCACTCTCATTCTGACTCTATAATTTTTTGTATATCTTTCTTGTAAGACATAATACAGAGAAATCTCATGTACTCTTCACATCATTTCTCCACTGGTAACATCATGCATAAATATAGTTCAACACCAGAGTCAGGAAATTGGCATTGATACAATCTATCCACCTCATTCAGAGTTCAGCAGTTTTATACACACTCCTGTGTCTGTTTAATTCTTTATAGTTTTATCACACGTACACTCTTGTGACCACTACCACAGTCAAGACCCAGAATGATTCCAAGGTAAGAATCCCTGCTGCTACCCTTTTATAACCGTAGCCATCTCCCTTCTTCCCCACTTCTCTAATCTCTGGCAATCAGAAATCTGTTCTTCATATAATCTTGTCATTTCAGGAATGCTATATAAATTGAATCCAGTTTGCATGTTCTTCAGTTTAATTCCCTTGAGGTCTGTGCAAGGCTTTGGCATGTATCAAACATTTGTTCCTTTTTATTGCTGAAAAATAGTGCATAATATACATATACTGCTGTGTTTAACCACTCTGCTATTGAAGTACTTTTGAGTTCCTTCCAGTTTGGGGCTATGATAAATAAACCTGCTTCAAACACATTTCTCTTTTCTACCAGAAATGCATGAGTGATCCAGTTTGCCCACACCCTCACCAGCATTTACCATGTTTACTATCTTTTATTTTAGCCCTTCTAATAGATGTATAGTGGTATCATATAGTGATTTTAATTTGCAGCTCCCCAATGACTAAACATGTTGAACAGACCATCTTCTCATGTGCTATTTGCCATCTTCACATCTTCAGTGAAATGTGCACTCATGTCTTTTGCCCCTTTTCTAACTGCATTGTTTTGAGAAATTTCTGCATTGTTTTCAATAATAGATTCTTAGGGAACTTACAAATGTTAAGAATATGTTTTTGAGGCAGGTGTGGTAGCTCACGCCTATAGTCCTAGCATTCTGAGAGGCGGAGGTGCTGGATTGTTTGAGATCAGGAGTTCAAGACCATCCTAAGCAAGAGCAATACGCCATCTCTATTAAAAATAGAAAAAAAAAAATAGCCAGACATTGTGGTGAGCACCTGTAGTCCTTGGGAGGCTGAAGCAGGAGGATGTCTTAAGCCAGGAGTTTGAGGTTGGCTGTGAGCTATGATGCCATAGCGCTCTACCCAAAACGACAGAGTGAGACTCTGTCTAAAATATAGAGATAGATAGATAGATTTTGATACAATAGAGGAAAATGATATGAACTATTAGGTAATGTTAATTTCATTAAGTAGGACAATGGCAGAATGACTTTCATTTAGGATAGAAGTGACAAGATGTTTTTTTAAAGGAGGGATATGGGAAGGACCAGTTGAAACAAGAGTGGCAAAACGTTGATAATCGTTGAAGCTGAGTAATGGATACATGAGGAGTTCTTTATATTACTTTCTTTTATGGGATATTTATGTATTAAACCCACAGAATGGGAGAAAATATTTCAAACTATACATCTGATAAGGGATTAATATTTAAAGCAAATAATCCAATTAAAATGGTAAAAAGACTTGAATAGCCATTTCTTTTCTTTTTTTGAGACAGAGCCTCAAGCTGTCACCCTGGATAGAGAGCTGTGGCATCACAGTTCACAGCAACCTCCAACTCCGGGGCTTAAGTGATTCTCATCTCAGCCTCCCAAGTAGCTGGAACCACAGGTGCCCACCCGAACACCCAGCTATTTTTTGGTTGTAGATGTCGTTTGGCAGGCCGGGGCTGTATTCAAAGCTGCCAGCTGTGGTGTATGTGGCTAGTGCCTTAGCCGCTTGAGCTACAAGTGCTGAGCCTGAATAAAAGAAGACCAAATGGTTGACAGGTTTATGAAAAAGTGCTCAACATTGCTATTCATCAGGTAAGTGCAAATTAAAATCACAATGAGATAGTACCTCACATCTTGTCGGAATGGCTATTACCAAAAAAGACGAAAGATAACAAGTATCGGTAAGGATGTAATCCTTGTACACTATTGGTAGGAATACAAATTAGTATAGACATTATGGAGACAGGAGGGAGGGTCCTAAAAA